CTGAACAGGTAGCAAAGCAAAACTGCATGCTGATCTCTCTTGAAAAAGCAGAAATCCAAAAGCTTGGCTGTACATGGACCACAACTCAGCTGAGATTTTAAACAAAAATATTATGAAAAATAAAATAATTTTAAACCCCTCTTCCTTTCACACTCAGCTGTAGAACATAACTAGATCCCACTGCAAAACACATGCACTTGCACTAAAACCTTGTCTACTCCTAGTGACTGCTAAAAAGGGGACTACTTACAATATTTTAGGATCTTGAAAGATGTGCAGCCATGAAAGTGCTGAAGAGGAAAAGCTGTCAATAGCCCCTGAGGGATTTGAAAGATTAGGTCTGAGACTGTCTAGACAGAAACCAAGCTTGTAATAACCAATTCTCCCTAACTGACAGCCCATAAACAAACCTCTCTGAATAGCTTGATCATAGTCACAGCTTCATTCCCTGGAACCAGTCACAGGCAAGTAGCTGGAAGACAGATGTCAGGCACTGGTGGGAAACTGCCAGGACAAGAGTACGCAGGCGTAACATACTTAAGATACCCACTGCATAGCTAGAATACAACAGCGCTATCTGTTGTATTTTCTGCACAAGTGGCATAAACACAGTTCTTCAGAAAAAATGAATGAGAAGATAGCTCATTGTCAGCCAGACACTTTGTTCCTTATACTTAACAATATTCTTAAGTGCAAAAAGGAAAAATAATTAAATAAGAAACATTTTACCTTCTTGTCTTTCCAATTCTCTTACCAGTTCGTTTTGTAGATAATTATGTCGTGATGATGTCAAATCCATACTAAGTCACAAACCCTGGGACAGAGAAACACAAGCCTGCCTGAATAATATAAGAAATAAGTACCTTATTTCTTTTTCCCCACAAACACTTAATTAAAAAAGAAAATTCTTTTTACATGTATTATGCTATAATTTACTTATATAGATAATAAAAACATGTAGACACATAAGTATCAATATTCAAGGCATAAAAGAACCAGAAGCAAACTAGTTCAAATCTTATACTCTCAAAGATGCAAAAGAGCTGATTTAAAAAAAAATGAGAGAGATAAAGAGCTTTGATAAATGTTTAAAACTATTTTATGAAATCTTAAAATTTAGATAAACTAAAATCAGGGTTTGTAGGCTTATAAAGGATTGAAAGGAAAGGTAGCAACAAGTGTCTGAAAGACATGAAAAATTGCACCTAAAGGATCTAATCTTGTTTGAATAAATTGGCTTTGAGGGGAAGGAAAGAGGGAAACAACCTATTACTAAGAGTTGCATATGAGAATAAGTAGGAAGCAGGATCTACAAATAACATGCTAAACAGAAAGCATATGTGCCTATATAAACAGTCACAGAACACACAGACTCCAGAGAAAAAAGTAATAGGAAAAGTATGACAGAGGACAATACAATTTTTGCTCTCTGTAGAAAAGTAGACAGAAGTAATCGTCTCCAATTCTTGATATTTTACAATTAGGAAGAACACTGAGTTCACAGGAAGAAAAAAAAATCAGTGCTTTAATAATTTTTGAAGTTTTAATTTAATTTTTAAATTTCCACTGTTATGTGCAGATTTAACTGATTTTTGCTGGAATGGTAAAACAGGCAGTATACAGCTAATAATCTACACATATTTAAAGACCCAATAGGAATGCAATTAAATAAGGCAATGGGTGAAGGAATATCTCTATACAGTGAAAAGAAAAAAAAAAGGACAATCAAAGTAAAAAATATGCTGAATATCAAGAAATCTTCCTCACAGTGCAAAGTCCTAGGCAGGTTTTCCTCTCAAAACTTCAAGTGAAAGAGGACAGTATGGAATAGCCCTTTCCTTTTAGGGAGGATGCACCATGCCCTCTTGACTTCACCCTACCAAAGATACACATTTAATGTTTAAGTTTATTACTAAAATACCAGCAGCCATTAACCTGTTTGAAGGTGAAAAATAACTTTGCAGGTTTCTACATGTTACCATAACACCTAGAAGAAAATTATTGACATTATTTTTGTGTCTACACATGAACTTAGCTATAGCAACATCATTAGATGAGGAACAGAAAAGAGATTCAATGGGATTTGAAGTCTTTGTATGCATCTGCAGAATAACAAGTAGCATAAGAAACTACTGGGACATTAAGCAGAAAATGCTACACACATCCATCAGCTTGTCATCTACCTCAGAAGTATAAAAAAAGACAAATTTTCTTCCCATTAGAAGACAAAATAAATGGTTAATAATCAGTCCTTTTGCATTCTAAAGGATAAGAAACATTGCACTGTAAAATCATCCTACAAGGGAAAGCCTTTTTATTTTGTGATCCTCTACACTTTTTATGTCATTCTAAAAATATCCTTTGAGGTACACTGAACAACATAGCAACCTGTCTGAGTTTAACATACACATTCAAGGGTGCTACAAGCAACTAAACAGTGCAGAACAGCTCAGTTTTGCTGTTTAAAGCAAAGGATACAAAATAATTTAGAGTTTAAGACACAGACAAGTGAAATACCACTGGCATCCACCGCATTTCAGTCAACGTTACCTGAATCTCCTGCAGCTTTCCAAAGATGGTGCTCAAACAGCAAAGTCCTTATCTGCCTGGTTTCTTCCCCCCAGGGCAGCCGCAGGCAGGAGCGTGTCCTGAAGCCTGTGTCACACATTGCCAACATCCCCACGCTGGGAGCAATAATAAATCCCGACAGCTGCAGTACGAGCACAAAGAGGGCACCACACACCATGTCCCTTACATAAGGGAGTGGATTTCGTAACAGCACCAGTCACCCACTCAGGGGAGCTCCAACCAACAAAGTAACCAACTTGGGAGTATTTTTTACAAAATAAATAGTGGCAGGATGTAACACTCGGTGTTACTAAAACGTAACTAAAGAGCACAATGTCATCCTCAGTCAAAGGGGTCTCCCAAAGCACAGACAAAAATTTACTAAGAGGCAGGGGGTGCATTTGCAGCAGGGGTGGTCACGTTGGAATGCAAAACTGTGACAACAGAACTCCCAAAATCCTACCCTGCTTTACTCCATGAGACAGCTGTCAATTTGCATAAATATCCACACACCACTAGATGAATTTCAACAAAGATTTTAGCAAGGTGAAAAACCACCTTATCTGTAGAAATGTACTCAAAATGAGACATAACAGGGTCACACCTCTTGATATAACCAGATAAAACTACTTAGAAGCCTTGAAGTTGTTCCAAGGAGGATATAGAGGACAAGGAAGATGAAGGTGGAGAGGAAGGGGTTGTCATTTTAAGACCACCAACTCAGATTTGGGAGGTCTGGCAAGGGGTGGGATGATGGGAGGGATGGTTTTGGGGATGGGTGTAACCAATGAAGTAATGTCCAGATATTGTAATTAGATAGTATTATAAAATTGTAAAGGTCTATGCCATGGTGGGTGCAATATTTTTTGTGCACCTACGATGCCTCAATTAAAGAACAGCTTTTTGCCTTTCTATACTAAAAATTGTCAGAAAATTATTTCTTTGATTATTTTTTTTTAAATTCTTGACAAGAAGAGTTAAACAGCATTTTAGGAATCTAATACAAAGGTGCTTAGCAAACTAAAAGTACTAGTGAGTTATACTACGATTTTATATAATATAGATTTTAAGGCATCACACTCCTCTATATTCCAAATGTCTATTCACTCAACAGATTGCAAATACTTACTGCCGTAAGAAAAACTACAGCTATTTAAGACTTCTCTGTTTTAGAGTGTAATCAATTCAGGACAAGAACCGTCTCTTACTTCACACATTTTTTAGAAAAATTAGACTTCAACCTCAACTGTGGTTTCTAGGTGTTACAGAAAAATGATAAATTATTGTACAAAAATACTAAACAAGCCCTACAGAGAGGTGAGGGTGTGTGTACTTTACCATACTCAGCAGAAGAAATTAACAGGAGCTCTTCTAGATTTATAAACTATTAAACAATTCACCGAGACCTGATACACACTTTTAAAGTAAAATTCAGTAATACTAATGAGTGATTTACAAACCAGTGCCATAAACTGGCTGTACAGGCTGAGAATTTGCTTAAAATGTTATAATCTTTTAGAAAAGTAGTTTCAAAGAGGATCATTTTTGCCCAATATAAACTATACATGAAGTATTAGACTCTCTGCAACTGTGAGAGCCAAACTGCACCCAGTTCACATCAATCCTTCATCCTTTTAGGGGAGGATAATGTCTAATACAAAACTTAAATATATGGACCTGGATTTCTAACAATGAAACAATGAGAAACACAGTAGAAATATCAAATGAGAAGACAAAAAAAAGGCAAGAAGGACTAAAATGTAATGTGAGAACAAAAGTAAGACTGTACTTTTCCTCCTTAATCCACAGGAGGTAGAAATAAATTCTAAAATCATTCAAAGAGGTGAGGAGTGTGAGAAGTCTGAGCCCAAAACATTGTCTCTCACAAATTAATCTGATGTGAGTGCTACAACCAGTGGGTACCTCTGAACACTTTTTCAAACAGTCTTTCGACATGGTCATGGAAATCCAAATCTAGAAACATGACATTTACATTCAGAACATAAACAATTACTGCTCATCAGATTATGTAAGGACTTACTGTACTGTGTTTTTCCTTGAGATTTTATGATAGTTTGCTTAATCTCTCTTCAATAAACAACATTACTTTCAAGACAGGCTTAGTGAAGGGAAAAGAAAAACAAAACTAATTGAACTTATTTTCCTTCTCGTAACACCTAGAAATCACCCAGGTAGTTTTCAAAATTTCATTTAAGTTCTAAGTTAAGGAAGAAACAGATTGCAGGTGATTTTAACAATTAACTCAGAATGTAAATGACTGGACACTACGTATTGGCTCAATTTTAAAATCTGAATCCAGAAAACTTATATCAAGTTCAATCTAGGTCTTTATGAGTAAATGTCCTAAAATTAGTTTTTTCATTGTTTAGAATCCCTTCTATTTAAGGTCTGAACAGAAAATGCATGACAAATACATAATAAATAGAGATAATTTATTATATTTTATCAAAAATTCATTAGAATATTTACAAAGTTTAAATCATAAACCCCACAGAGTCTGCCCTTTTTATTACTTTTTTTCTTTAAGGCTTTTTCTTTCTTATTCCTCTCTTGCCCCGTGATTTGTTTTTTCTGCCCTCAAACACAGGTTTGGCAGTCACCATGACTACATTTCCCAGGTCTTCATCCTCATCACTTGAGCTACTGCATCCCTTTTTCTCTTTATGGTCTGCAGTCTCTACCGTAGAGGTGTTTTTCCTCCTTTTGCTCTTGCCTAAATCTCTATTTTCTGATTCCTCTGAGGAGTCACTAGAAGGTTCTGAAAGATGCAAATTTCCAATAAAACCACCTCCATATAAACATTCTTTTCTGGAATCTGAGTGTTTTCTTCTCTTTCCCCTCTGGGCTTTTGTTGCCACAGCTAGATTTGTGCAGCCTGTGGTACCTTCCCCTTTTGTTTTCTCATGCTGTTCAAGTTCCATCTCTGTAACAGCAGTGGTCTCCTGAATTTCATTGTCTGCTTCTTTTTCCTTTCTCTTCAGGCAAGTCACAGCTCTGCGCAGTCTCTGACTTTTAATAGCTAGTTTTTCATGTTGCTCTAGTCTGAAGAATGAATCAATTCGAAGCTGAGTCTATCAAAAATAAAACAGAAAAACACCTTTGAATAGGATAGGAATTCAGTTGTTACCTCAGCTATACTATAAGCCATCCAAAACTAAAGCAGGACAAATGACTAATGAAATTAACACATGTGCACACAGATGTGAACAATAAGATGCATTATTAACTAATACCTATACCTTATTATAAATTATACAACAAGAACCTTTACAGAAACCAAATAATTAGCAACTTCCAGTGAAATTCATAAACATTGTGCTGATGATGATTAGACATATGTTGCTATTTTCAACCCTAATACAGAGAACTTCTGTAGTGCTCTTGAGGATGTCCTTACAAACACATCCTTAGCTTCAAGCTGTTAAAACAGCAGAATGTTTACTAAGTAAATGTTGTAAGTGCACTTCACATTTGTGCCTGCAAGTGCAACACACAGTCATTTGACTCAAGTTCACTGTACCACATGCTGCTACAGTATAATTCCAAAGAGTAGAACCAGAAGTAGTCATACAGGATGAATCTGTGCTATTCAACCACAGCTAGGCTTATTGTGGAGACTAAGCTAGTCCTCTATATTTTCCCTAAAATTGTCTAAGAGAAATAGACGCTTCCAAAGGATGCTCCAGTCAACCTGAAAGTATATCTATTTAACCACAGGGTTTGGTACCTTTCAATCTTTGGCTGATATAGAGAACCTAGAACACTGGTTTAGACAATGTATCTACCTTGTATATGACAAAAGGAGAAAACAGCCTGAGATTGGGTGATCAATTTTACAACTGACTTTGACAGTTTTCACAGTATGCATCACTATTCCCTTTCAGCTTTTATTAAAGTTGACAGAACATTTATTTGGAAATTAGACTAATATTATTAATGGGCACTTGCTCAACAGTTGAGCCTGCACTCCTCCTCAAAGGATATGTATGGCATCAAATAGGCAGTATCACTTCACCAAAACCTTAGGGGCATTTTTGTAAATACTTTTTAGAGACAGCACACTGTCTTTTAAAATTACTAAAGTTGCTTGAGGTACCTGTAGCATCAGCTACATCCAGAAGAAACAGCAGCCTGGACTTGAGATAGGTGCTTGATAGATAATAAAATTTGAGACCAACAATTGAAATTATGTAGAGTCCCTCACAGCACACTCAAATCATACAGAAATGAAGTCTGGAGAAGTACCTTTAACGACTTAAATATATATACATAAAGATTATAAAACATATGACCAAAGCCTAGTTTTTGAGAAACATATTTTAGTTTAAATCCTTGCTCTTAATTTTAAAATGCTTCTCACAACTTTCCAGTTGCCCTTAAACTATAGGTTTTATACTTTACCTGCTGCACATTCAGCTGTTTCATCACAGGCAAAAGGATTCCATCTATCTTTGCTGTACTCCAGCCAAAGTGATCCTTACAGAACGTGCAGAAAGTCAAGGAACTTTACAAAATGGCTATTAATACTATTCTGTAAACACATAAAATGAAAATTCCTCAAGCAAACAATGTCTGGTGGAAAGTTGCTCCAGTTCAAAAGTTTTTCTACTACAAAACTAGAGAAAAGACTCTAAGTTATAACAGCTGGCTTATGTGGACGGTTCCAGTATTACACTATGCATCACAAATCACACTGTTACATCTCCAATAGTTGCAGAACCTTTGCTCTAATATCAACACTTCCAAAAGCATGTTTCAGTTAAGACAGAACTCATTTTGGCTATACAGTATTGCCATAAGACAAAATACCTATAAATAAACCTTATTTTTATGCTTGCACACGCTGGAAATTCTATTTATTGTTTAAAATACTATTAGCTCTGCATGCATTGCCATCTACTTTTCAACAATCCACTGCAGCTCAGACTGCAACAGATTCAAAAAATGACATTATTGGAAGAAATGCAGGGAATAACTAAGGATAAAGTGCAGACTGAAACACCATTTCTGATTAGGCTTTGAGACTTATTCATGAAAAATGGTAAACATACACCAGGAGTGTGCAAACAATCCCACTCACTCTAAGTCTAGAAACAGGCACAGGACAGTTACAAAAGCAGGAGGATCAAAACAAATTAGTTAGGCCAACTACAAGATTCTCTTTCCACACAAAGCAAAGCAGCCCACTCTCTAGGAGGGCAGAGCAGCCTTGAGTACCACACAAGCATGGCTGCATTCCCTTCCATTCCAGAGCTGGTGTCATTTTAGGAAAGCGCATGCAGACAGGGCTGGGGGCCCCTCACACCCAAGAGATGTTAAGAACTTGCCACTCCATTACTGACTCACTTCATGAACTTTGAGTACTTTTACCTAACAAGTCCTATCATACAGTAAAAGGATATTCTCTGATCTGCTCTAAGTCAGGCTTTCCCCAGGTGAACGAACTCCTTGTCTCATCCACCACAGGCTTCAGGTATGCTTCTGCCACTGCTGGATTTGGGAAACCTGAAGAAAGCTGCAGCTCCCGCAGTTTCTTCTTGACCTTGGTATCATGTGGATTAGGTCTCAATTTCTTATTCTTCTGAGCCTCATTCCACCACTCACTGAAAAACAGAGATTATTAATTTGCCTCCATAACATATAATTTGAAATATCAAGAGCCACCATGCTAATTTCAATAGCCTCTCTACTTCAGCTGCTACAAGGGATGAGGTAGAAAATTTCTAAATAAAGGACGGTCAAAGTGATAAATAATCTGAAAGCAGAAAAGACAAAACACACACATTAAACGCAGCCATTGTAAGCCACAGTAGTAAACATCACCTGGATTCCCCATAAGTTGCTAAACAGAAGACCCTAACTTCAGCCTCACTTCCACATACAAGGATCGTTTTTGGAGATTTTTTTGGTATGAAAGGAGAAAAAAAAGAAAACAAAAAAAAACCCAAACCAAACCAACCCCAACAAAACAAAACAAACAAAAAACTCAAACAAAAAAACAAACTGTCTAACCATCCTTGCCTTTGCAAATACAACCGCCTTGGCCCTCTTCAAATCTTGTTCTTCCCCACAGCCTACCTGTCTGTCTCTTTCCAGGTCATCCATTCTCTTTTCTCTATGAACAAGCTATAGCAACTTCTGACAAACTCAGGCAGAATAAACCTCTGCTCCATTATGGATCCAGCTCTGCAATGAACTCTGAGGCAGTCACACAGTTTTACAGCTGTTCTACTTCACTGTAATTGCTCACTCATTGTAATCGCTGTATCAACATGTCACCTTATTTATCTATCATTTCAAATAGTGATATAATGGAGACACATGTTTTACAGCTTAGTCTCCTTAATGATGGTCAAAGATGGTCACATGTCTTGGTGCATGCTTAAGCAGCAGAAAAGCATATTCATTTTCATAATGAATGAAAATTCATACGGAGAGACAAAAGAGCAAAATAGAATGAAGCATACGCAAATTTTAAGAGTGGTTCTAAGCCATGCCCAGGAAATTCATTTAAAATCTCCATCGCTGTTACGAAGCCAACATTTGGGATGCCCTCAGTGTAGTCACTTCCAAGCAAGTATGCCAAATTAATTAGCTTGCTTCTATCCAACCCTGTAAAAGAAAGTGCATAAACCAAATAAAACCAGTGGATTCAGCATTTATTCTCTTACAAATTAAAAAATATTATCTGAAAGGCAAAACCCAAAAGGAATGCAAAGGTATATACTCTGTAAAATTATATTTAGTTCAACATCAGAATTTGCTTAATTATATTCTAGTGCACTGCAAATATGCTCCTGCTAGGTCAAGCACCAATAGTTGTGCTAACTAGGCAAATACATCTTGCCAAAATTAAACTGTTACAATGGACATCAGGAGGAATTTTTTCACAGAAAGGGTTGTTAAACATTGGAATGGGCTGCCTGGGGAGGTGGTGGATTCACCACCCCTGGAGGTGTTCAAGAAACAACTGGATGTGTCACTCAGTGCCACAGTCTAGTTGATAAGACGGTGATCAGTCAAAGGCTGGACTTGATGACCTCAGAGGTCTTTTCCAACCTAAATGACTGTCTAATGTCAAAACCTTTGGGAAATTCAGGGTTGATAAGAGATTTTTTTTTTTTTACATTTATTTTATCCAATTACTGTCCTGTTCCCATCTAATGCGGACCCAAATTTAATAACTCTTTAATTAAAAAATGTTTAAATAAAAACATTCTGTTTGAATTCTAGCCCATAATATCAATGCCTCTGCTTCTTAAAAGTGTTCCCCAACTGGGAGCCTTTTGTTCTGTGCTGGTGCAGTTACTAAGTAGGCCAGAAGAGCCTGTGGAACAGTCAGAAAGAAGGAAAAATTCAGTCAACCACTTCTACTTGATATGAGGTTTGAGGCAACCAGACTGATTTTTAGTGACCGGCTTCAATAATTTAGATTTAAATAAAAAATAATTTTAAAAAAATTCAATGCAGTAAAGGAGGGATGTGATTCTAAACACACAAAGCAAGATCATCATCATGCTAGTCAGGATAACTATCAAGAACAGAACTAAGAAAGAAGAATTGCACAACGCATGGGAAAGAAGTACAAGGCTGCAGAGGAATGTGACATGAAGACCGATGGTGACTATTTTTCCCCAATAAATAAATAAAAGCTCTGGCTTATTACATTAATAACAGTTAAAAATCACACACATGTTTTTACAGCAATTCTTTCCAAGTAAGCTACAGTAGCATACTTCAGTAGGGGAAAAATATTCCATTCAATTTGCTGGAAGAAGAAACCAAAGATATATTTTTCACCACATAAAAATGTTATGAAATGTTACATGCTGAAGACATTAAAATATTACTTCAAAGTCTATAGCCTCTCAAATTTGAAAATGTCAAAACTGATTTTAAGAATTCTGCTAGAAAAAGACATAATAACAAGTTTAACTCGGCTCATATTTTCCCTAATACACTATGTGACACTGAAGTTTAGTAGTTCAACAAAATTAGCAACAATTTGATTAGACTGGTTGAAGAGTAATCTGAAAGAAAAAATCTGTCAGTGTTAACTAAATGAAAAATGTTTTACATAGCATACACATATTTCTGATCCTCTTTTAACACATTATGTGTCAGTATGCCCAAAGCTAACTTCCATTTCCAGAAGACTATAAATTTGATGACATCAGAATATAATTTTCCCACCACATCAGGAAAGTCATGCTAACATTTACCCAGGAACTGATATCATAGTTCATATCTCCAGCCTTGATGGTCATCACATTAACTCAGTTTATGAAATGCAGGAGTTTGTATATTCAGGGTGGTCAGTTGGCAGTAAAAACAGCAACCTAACTGAACGGCTTTAGAGACTCTCCAAAGAACAGGCATTGTAATAATAGACACACAAAATTCTGTAGAAAATACAATTTCAAAGAGACAGATGGCAGCGCTGTCTTATTAAAGACTGTGTTTAACAAACCAATACCTGAAGCTTACCTAGCTCGTTTTGCAAATCAATATACTGATAATATTCTACATATTTGTTCTGGCTGAAGAAATTTTTATAAACATGTCGTGCGCCAAATAACCAAACATCACTGTCATCGGTGATTGTCCCGGAGGTCTGATCAGTAAGGTCCAATATAGCACACTGTGCCTCTGCTTCCATCGGAGCTTCAATATATGGAATGCCGAACAGACGCAGAAGCTCCTGTAGGATGGAGGGAAAGCAACAATTCATCTAAAGAATTAACTTCTATTATACTTCTGCTTGACTTGGAGCTGCTAGATTCACACTTGGGATGTATTTAATATTTGGCAGCAAATCTTAATTTCCCCTAAAAAGTGCCAAGCACAGTTAAGTCAAGGGGGAAATTGCACTTATCTCAGGCAGATAGTTCCACATAAGTCAAGCACTACTTGAGCACCCTATTACCACAGAGTTTAAGAACCTGCTATCTTAATTAACAAGCATACTTAAGTACTGTGTTTTCCACAGCAAGGAGAAAATTCCATGCATTACATTTATGTGGGCTCCATGAAAGAAAGACGTAGGTCAAACGAAAAAAAAAAAATATTTAAAAAAAATTGGTCATCACTTTAGCTTAGAAAATAGTTGAAAGCATATGAGAAACATTCATATCAAGCAGGAAACAGTGGGTAGACTAATCATTCTTTGGATAGTGTTTTGATATACATGTATTTTGACGTATTTTTGCTTTTATGGAATACATTATTTAACTTCAGTTAAATATCCAACACGCACTAGGTTTACAGACTTGTGCTATTTACACAATTCTAGATTATGTTCCCCACTTAACTAGAGGAAAAAATGAGACCTATAATTAACAAAAATTACTAACAGTTTTTGAGTAAATTACTGGGGTGGAGGAGGGAAACAAATCAAAATGACTCAACAAATACTACCTGGCTTTCCAAGAACATCTGTCCTGTTACAGAAGCAGCAACACGCTCCTGCTGCTGTTTTTGAGACTGAAGCATATTCTGCTCAGTAGAAAGGTCTCTTTCTAATTCTTCTAGTTCTTCCTGAAAATATAAACCAAGATTTTCATTATTTCAACAATTCAGGTATACTTAGTTAAGTACAGCACTAAGTCTCCGGCTATAATTATTCTAGTAGTATATGATCCATTAATTCACACTCAGAAGTTGTTACAGCTTCTCTAATGAAGTACCAGGGATAGGTTTTCATCAGCATGCTAAACCCTTAAAGTTTCCCTCTGATTTCAGGGAGATTATGATTAACTATCTTTAAACAAAAATCAGCTCCCCTACAATTAGATACATATATGAGAAAGCAATGAAACAATACAAAGCTGTCCAATAGTTTTCCTTAACAACTACTTGGAGACAAAGCAGTCCATTACTAGCTCAAAACAAGTAAAAAAGGAGAACAAGTTACCAAACTGATGTCTTGCCACTCATCCACTGCATCTTTATCATCAGCTTGTCTTTCAACATTCTGAGCATTTCCCAACTGCACTTCATCAGACTCCTTCAGCAGCTCCTGTGTGACAACATCAGGTCTGCCTGTCTCTACTTCTGAAAGTGCTGTTTCATCACCCAGTTTTTCATCATATTTAGTAGGAAACTCAGCCTCATTACTGATTTCAGTATCCACTTCAATAAAGCTCGCTATGAAGAGAAAATAGACACTTGAACGTATTTTTAGCTTGGGCAGTGTTGTTTTTTTTTCCTACATGCAGACTTAGATATAAGGATTGTGAAATTACACAAACCAAGTGGCTGACCACTAATATACCAGTTAAATTCAGTGTACGCAACAACATGCTTTCCTGACTTTTTGTATTTTATACTCAGGTTTCAATGATAAAATGTGACACCAAGGAGAAAAACATAGCTCAGATTTTCTTCCCACCTCCTATATGTGTAGGGATAGGTGTATTTAAAGCATTTCTCACTAAGAGAAAAGGTTAACTTCAAATGACTACAAATAAGCTAAGTTCCTATTTTTTTATCCTTTTACACAATTAAAAAGCACATACCATCAGAATCACTGTCTTCAGACTGTGAAATCCCTTCTCTTTCCTCCTCAGGATGTCTTTCTTCTGGAAAAACTCTAATATGCTTCTGTACCTCAGACACATTCTCTTCTGTTTGCGAAATTACTTCCTCTATATTTTCAGAAATTTTCAAGTTTTTCTCATTTTTAGAAAGGTCTGTTGTTGCAGCATGAATCACAGCCCCTATACTAGTTTGTACAGAGGAACAACTTGGCTTCTGCACACACAAATTCATATCCTTATCTTCCAAAGACTTTAAGTCCATTTTGGAACCATTTTCTTCTTTGTCTAAATCTTCTGTGTCTTTTCTAGTATTGTCAATAAATGAATAATTTTCAGCTCTGGATATACTGGTATCCTTGAGTGCAATATAATTTTTTGAACCATTTTCTTCTTTGCTTACATCTTCTTTGCCTTTTTCAGTATTGTCAGTAGAAGAGTAATTTTCAGCTGTGGATATACCAGTGTCCTTGGGTGTAATATGATTTTCTTCCAAATTCTGACTCTTCTGTTCAAATTCAGCACCATGCATAGTCACTTGGATTGATGAACAAACTGTAGCTGTAGGTATGTTTTTTCCCTCCTTAACTTCAGGAATCTGCTCCTCCTCATCTGAGCTACTAAGCAGAAAATCTTTCACTTCTGATCTTTCTGGTAGCACTCCATCAGTTCTAATAGTAACAACTTCCTCCCTTTTATCCTCATCACTCAGAGCTTGCTGAATTGCCCGTAGTGTTCTTGGAGACACACTGCCTTCCTCTGTTACAAATTGGTCTACATTCAGTTGTCCTGTATCCAGTTCTTCTTCTGAGCTGCTTTCTACCATAGCTGCCTGGATAGCAAGCAAAGTCCGAGGAGAGGGTGGTGCTGTCGCCACATTATTATCTTTCTCTGTCCGCATCTTGTCAGATGCAACTAGCTTTGCATTAGCAGGAGATTCGTTGATTTTACTCAATTTAGTCAATTCAAGCATTTTTGATGAGGGTCCTGCAGTAGTTTCCAAGTCTCTATTTATAGCTTCTTTTGCTTGAATACCTGAAAGTTTTTTGTTGATTTTTTTTGTTTTAGTAAAAAACTGCTTTATAATAACATTCCATTTTACATAATGAACATCATTATATAAAGATTAATAAACCACTTTTCTACAGGTTTACAGATCACAGTTAATTATGTACAATAGTAATGCACATTTCATACAAAGTATTGGCTACATGCGCCCGTAAACAATATTCAGGTTTTTTTTAAACTGCCAGCTGCTGAGTGTACACTCCAAACAAGAGGTTTTACAAAATTAAGACCTGACATACCCTTTATCAGAATATAGTGAGAAGTCTCTTCAGAGACCACCCTCCTTGATTCCACTTCTTTCACAAAACCACCTTCATTTTCATATTGTGTTTGGATTTCACCCGAGTGCTGTTGATTCATTTCTTTTTGCACATTCTCTATGCACCGATTGAGGTTGCTTTTTTTAAGCAAGCCCCTAAGCTGGTACTGGGAAAACTCATTGGAGTCCTCAAAACAAAACAAAATGAAACAAAACAAAACAAACAAGTCAATTGAAATAAAATGCCCCTTTTAAGCAAGTTCATTTCCCACACTCTAAAGAGTGTGGAAACTCTTTTAAGAGTTCCTTTAAACACATAACATTTGTGTTTTACTGACTGCTGCACTCCCAAGCGACAGCAATACTATCCAGGTAACATACAACAATTCCAAAAGGTACCAGTAGTTCTGACTGCTGGTTAAACATGAAATCTCAATTATGTGACCAACAAAACTTAGTTGGCTTGCAGAGGTCATTTCCATCTTAAAAAAGAAAGCAATTAAAACAGAATCCACACGTGGACCATTTTAAAATGATGATTCTTAGCTATCATTTGATCTGACATATATTGTACTTTCAAATCTAACTGCAGAAGTGGCACTGTAGGATTCTCCATTTGTCTCTGAGCAGCTTCAGCAATACATCTGCCTAAGTTACAAAAGCCTTTTCCCAGCTGCCAGCTCCCCTAACGACCTCAGGGTTTGGAATCCTAGCTGTGTTCATTCTGCCTGGTTTATCCACACCACTAGCTTGTTTTTGCAATTGAAATCTTGGGCAAAATGCTGATGAGGCATGAGACAGAGCATGCTTTTTCCCATTCTTGCCAAACTGAATTAGCCCTGCTAATTTTAGTGGAAATCAAGAGATAAGGCTGTTAAGAGTCATTATCTCACTGGATTTTTTTCCCCCTCAATAGAACGTCTCTTATTAAGTAGTCCAGGGAGTAAAGCTTTCCAGATGTGACACGCTTACATAGTCCTCATCTGCATTAATGGCAATAGCTCCATTCTGTTGGCTTGAAAACTATTTTAAATATTACCTCTGGCATTGCTTCAAATAACGTTCTTCTTCGCTTTGTAAGTTCTTTAATATCAGTCAAGATCTCATGTTTTACTTCTGGAGGCAGCTTGTTGAAATCTTCTGATTCAATATCTACAGAATAAGGATTTTCACATAACTGTTCCTATAAAAATGGAAAACAACATAAAATATATATTTTATATTACAGCACAGCAAAAATAGTAAAATATTTAGACCATCATTCCAAACAACAAGACCAAAAAAGAAACCTTAAGAATTTTGTTGCTACTTCCTATATGGTAAAGAAAACAAGGGAAAAAAAAGATAACTGCTACATAATAAAACAATGTAAAGTACATAATTATTGATGTACATTATACAGAGAAACTTGGTTTTATTCTTTTTACAAAAAGATATTTAGTATAAATCACAGAAATAGGTTCTATAGCCTCAGCTAGTCTGATTTTATCTTTCTAAAGAGGTTCTCCTTCTGAATGAGAACTACTTCAAAGACAAACAGTATTTTCAAGAGTTTTTTCTTTTTTTTTCTATTGATGAAAGCAGAGATAATTTTATTACTCATTATGTCTTCTCCTTAGGTTATATATTTCTCTTCTCCTCTTCCTATGAGCACATCAGAAGCAAATACAGAATTTATCTGTGAAAACTCAAGGACTGAAATGCTTCAGCATCACATGTGGAGAAGCACAGGAATTTTGTTAAATGCTGTCTTTTATATGCATACATATGTGCATAAATGCATACGTGTCATGTACATCATCAGAAAAACCAATTTTTTCTCAATATGTTCAGAGAAAGTAGTAAAAAGAAAAAAAAGGATACCATAAAAAATTTCCGTTGTATCCTAGTGGAGAAATTACATTTATATTTCCTCATTATCAGGAAGTCTTAGAGTACCAAAAGTTAACTTGTTTGCTTGAGAGGCAATGCTATAGTAAGACCTATATCTCCAAACAATTGAGCTTTTTTAAGCTTTTTGTTTATCTTTTAAGCGTAGCACATGAATGAGAAGACTGTTCACAGTAACAGGGCAATTAGGTTGCACTTACTTGCAACATCTTTTTTTGGCTCACTCTCATTTGCCATTCTTTTTCTTCCTCCTCCTCCGAGCTAAAAATCACAAAGAGAAAACAAAAGGTGTAGATATTTACCCAGGAAAATAAAGTTCCTATTTTAAGCAAAAGGACATTAATCATCGCTTTGGTAGTAAGTACAAAAATACACACACACATATATATATACATATACATACAAACACACATTATAAACCCATACACAGGTCAAAAAGATCTGAGCAGAAAGCAAGAAGGCAGACTTATGTCAGCTAAAACTAGATTGAGACAACTGATGCTGCTTAAATCCTTACCTGATGGTCAGTGATTAAAGTACATGAAAAGACAGAGAGATATACATAGAGCAATCTAACGCATAGCTTCATGTTCTCAGTTTGTGTTATTTGTCACATTTGACAGCACAAACAAAGCCTGCTTCTGCTGAACATGTCAATGCTCTGAACAAGGGGACACAAACCAGAGTCATACAGGCAGCAGTCACACAAGCTTGAACAATCAGTCCCATTTAGTTGTACAGATATGGCCACAGAGACTGAGGTAGAACTTTCATCATTAAACATGAATCCAGTGTAGAAATTTAATTTGTGGGCTGAAAGCTTCTTCTGTTACTTTCCCATAAGTAACTAGAAGGGTTCTGTATACAATTATAAACAAACTCTCCAAAAAGAAACAGAAATAAAATATAAATTAAAAATCTACTTCATATATTATAGAATCTCATAGATCAAAGGTCTTTCAGTAGCATCAAAAAATGTGTTTAATGCTTTTATCCTAGTTTAAGCTATTTTTCTTAATTTTACCTACCTATTCTTCTCTTCATCTTCTAAAGCAGGCAATACATACATATCATCAATTTCTCCTCTTCGAACTTGTGTAATACTGGGCAAAACTTCATCGCTTAGGGAAAAGGAAAAAAAAACCCACAGTGATTAACAGCTACATAAAGAATTATCTGACACTTACAAACGAGGGAAAAATAATTTTTTTCTTGCCTTTTTCCCTCAAGAGCAGTTTTGATAATGTGTCTCTTCAAAAGCGTTTTCAAGAGTTTCTCTGTAGTTTCCCTGGAATCACTGATGGCAACTTCCTTTCTTTGTCTTCGCTTAGCCTGTGAAAATAAGATTAACACCAACAAGATTTTGCCAGATGCTGAAGATGCACATCCAATGAATCACTGTTAAAATTCAGTGTGCTGAGCCTATGAGCTATTCCTAACTCATCCTACACTACTGAGGTCATAGCCTTCAAATCCTCTAAATCTACGTCTGTTTCCTCTGTGGGACTTGGGAACAGCTTTCAGCTTCTGAGTACAAATGCCGCAAGTGTTCATTCAGGTCCATTCTGGAGCATGATCCAAGCTTATGCCATCCTCTACTTCTCCACAACCTGGTTTCTATGCAAATCAAACCTGCCTCTATCAAAAGAGAGCTGCCACATGCTCCAAGAGCTAACCCAGGCTGGGACTGGAGAGGACACCTGCACAGCAGTGGCTTCAAGCCCTCCATCCTCACAGACCAGAAGCATAGGCAGAACAGTAGGAAGGAAATTGAACACGGCTCCTTAGTATCAGCAGACACACACCCTATTTTGCATTGCAATGACTCAGTAAAGGCACTTACCAAGGTTTGTCTCTTCAGAAGAGGTGCCTCTCCATCAAAAACAAAGACAGGTCGAATTCGGAAAAACAGTAACTTGCAGAGTCGATGGAACAGAGTGAGGAGGTGAGCATTCCGTACAGAAATACCACCACGATCTCTGGCTCCCTTTATTGCTTGGTTCAACCAAATACTGATATCTTAAAGAACCGCTGAGAGGAAAAAATGTGCTCTCTTACACGTATACTACATTAAGTTTCTATAAAGTGCACATATTTGATTGAGTGGCTTTTGCCCAGTGCTCCAGGCTTGGCTTATGGAAACCAAAATTATCCAAATAGCTGTGAACTTTGGAGAAGAATAAATTCTTGCCCTTATTGCCCTGCACAAAAAGTAGAGTGGAAGTAACTGTGGAGCAAGTACCTCCCCAGTTATTTTTACAAATAAACGTAGGCTAATTTCCCTCCACATCTTTCTAGCATTTAACCAAGCATACAGGATAGGAAAGCTGATTCTTAAGTATTTAAATTTTTTCATCTTACAGTCCTATGGAGAGCAGCACATTTATTAAATTAAATCCTAGAGTCCAACACGTTTGTAAGGAACCTATTCAGAAAAGCCTATTTTTCAAGCGATAAAAACAGAAAGAGCTTAGTATTCCACATACTATAAAGCATAAAATCCACCTACCAAAATGTTGTCAATTTAAAATTAATAAAAATAATAATCATCATAATCACAACAAGAAAAGATGATCACTTATAAGTAAGGGAAATAATTAAGATAATCTCCCTCACAACTTCGGCTCCCCAGCTTTACTTTTAAAGGATACCCACAGCAAGAATTTTCCCTTCTAGCGTTTCTGGGTTTATGGTTCTCCCGGTGCATTCAATCAGCTTCCACAGGCCTTGAACTCCCATGTTCCTTTCTTACCTGCTTTGAGAGAAAATCTATGAGGCAAAAAGAACGGATAACCCAAAGATGACACGGCCCACGTCCGCTTCATTAATGCGAATAGAAATAACGAGGCAGCCGCTCGGCCCGGGACCGGCAGGGGCAGGCGAGGGTCGTGGTGTCGGACCTGCGGCGGGGGCTCACCTGCGGCGGGGTGGGGAGCGGAGCCTGGCAGAGGACCCGGAAGGGCCGGACAAGCCCAGCGGCCTTTCCAACCAGCGAGCGCAGACACCGCCCCGGTACCGCCCCGGTACCGCCCCGGTACCGCCCCGGTACCGCCCCGGTACCGCCCC